CTCTTAGGAACCTTAAGTGCAGCAGAATTTTTTTTTGTAACCTTGGCCAGATCTGTGCCTTGCCACAATTCTGTCTGTGAGCTCTTCAGGCAGTTCCTTTGACCTCATGATTCTCATTTGCTCTGACATGCACTGTGAGCTGTAGGGTCTTAGACAGGTGTGTGGCTTTCCTAATCACGTCCCATCAGTATAATCAAACACAGCTGGACTCAAATGAAGGTGTAGAACCATCTCAGGGATGATCAGAAGAAATGGACAGCACCTAAGTTAAATATATGAGTGTCACAGCGAAGGGTCTGAATACTTATGACCATGTGATATTTCAGTTTTTCTTTTTTAATAAATCTGCAAAAATGTCAAAAACTCTGTGTTTTTCTGTCAATATGGGGTGCTGTGTGTACATTAATGAGGAAAAAAAATGAACTTAAATGATTTTAGCATATGGCTGCAATATAACAAAGAGTGAAAAATTTAAGGGGGTCTGAATACTTTCCGTACTCACTGTATATGTATATATATATGTATGTATTCCTGTTTTGACTAGAAAATAATGAAGGGACTATTAACACAACGGTGGCTGTGGCTCAGAAGGTAGAGCGGGTTTTTTTCCTAACCAGAGGATTAGCGGTTCGATTCCCGACTTATCTAGTCAACATGTCGAAGTATCCTTGAGCAAGACCATGAACCCCCAGTTGGTCCGGATGTGTGAGCGTTTGTATGGGTGAATGGCCTAGTAGTGTGAAAGCGCTTTGAGTGTGCTGCAATGTATTGAAAAGCGCTATACAAGTGTAAGACCATTTAACCTTTTCATTAAAAAATCAATCAAATTATTACAAAATGATTTTAAACAGCCACAAAATGAGGAAAAAATAGATTCAATACAACAACAACATAGGAACCACTACAAAAAAAAACTACAGAAAAGGCAAAACATACAGACATTAAACTACAAAGATATGCAAAACTACAAATAGACTCAAAAAGCAAAGACTAGTGTGAAATGACTGCAAACAGACGCAACATCATTAAAAAAAGACACAAAGAACCACAACCACAAGAAGACACAAACTGAGTACAAGTCAAATAATTGCTCAGTTGGAGTCTTGCACCTACAGTAGACATACAGGAGAGATAGCGGCCTTTTCAGTGTCTGTACCCATGCACACAGTACAGGCACAAAGACATTCCAGTGGCACAAAACGTCACAAACTGCAAAACTGATAAATATTGTAGGTTATATGCTAAACAACCTCTAAACATGTGTACTTATAATGTGTCTCTATGCATGGAGTCACTATTGATACAAGAACTTGTACACACTACAGTTTGTACCCTCTAGAGAGAGCAAAAAACCTATGCAGACATCCATGCTTAGAACTGGCCACATGGATAGATTGGTTCCCTAGCTGGAACAGACTTACTGATACCCAGAACCCAGACAGTGAAACCTCTAAATATCAACAAAACACATGAATGAGAGCACACCAGACCTTTGTGAGTTGCCACCCAACTATATAGGAGGGGTTGCCACATCGTGAGAAAAATATTACCCTTGTTAAAGAGTGTATCACAAATAATTTTGAGGTGAAACATGTTTGCCAGATCTTTGAGCCATATATGACTTCTATATGACAAGCTGTATATATGATTTCTGACTTCCAGCTCTGCAATACCAGTTGTTGGGCTAAAAGGGTACAGAGAGAAATAGCTTGTTTTTCATGGTCATTTGTAGCAGGAGGAGCAGAGATTATGCCAGATATGGCTGCCAAGGAATATAGGACAATTTTTAAAGGCATTTGATAAATAATCAAATATGAGCATCCAGAACATTTTTAATCTGGGACAGGTAACAGAGATAGCTTAACAGACATTAATCTAATAGCCTCTTCTTAATTTGTAACTACATCTGTATCCCTGTCATATTTTTATGCTTCTAATTGTTTTACTCTCATAGTGTATTTTGTACTTTTAATTCTTCTTGTAATATAATTAATTAAGCATTTTACTGCGACTGGTTTACTGTTCAACTATAAAACACTGTTTAGAAATAAGTAAAGTTACTGTGGTAATCAAAGTCAGTCTGTAGACTTCCATATGAGGACGTCTAATCATGCAAAATGCTTTAAAACATCGGTGGGGGTGTGTGTAGGTGCTATATATTATAGTTTTAAATAGATAAATTACATGAAGTCACCCTTAAGAAAAATGTACTTGCTTGTGGCTCAATGAAAAACACATTTCTCTTCACACATAGGCCTATTTAACTTGTTCATGTGCCAAAAAACAGGAGTTATTAATCATACATAACAGGATTTTTACATAGTAACCAGTCATGACCAGCCAGAGCCGAGTCAGTACATGGTGAAGTGCCAGGCTGCGGCTGAATGACGCACTCATTCCACGGGACGGTGAGAGATTCCAAGCCGCTGGACTGAAGTTTACTGGCATATGACATCTATAGTCCCGGGCGTGATCCAGGAGAAGGGAGGACCTAACTGACAACGTGACATTTCCGCATGTCAATAAAAATAAGTTTATAAAGTCACGAAGAAGACGTATATCGTCTATGAGGGTGTGTGCCCAGCTGCTCTGCTGCTTTCACTTTTATATGTGCCCGAAGTTAGCGTGTAAAGACTTTCGGTCACATGATACCAGGCCGGAACCGACACCAGCTGCAAAGTGCTGCCTCTTCTCAAGGAAACAAAAGATTTCGGAGAATTTTCAAAGAAGGGATTTTCTGCTGAAAACCAAGGAGCAGACTGAAGCGTACACATGCTTAAATTAAGGCCAAAGTTTGACCTACACAGTGATGTGGTGTCTGATATCCTCAGGAAGGAAGCACTGGTCTGCAGGCTGGAAGGTGAGGCGTTCACGGTCAGCAACTTTACACTGATTTCTGTTACCGAATAGCTTTGACCGGTAGATGACTAACAGTGCTAGCTATAAAGTCAGTCAAGTCAAACCCTTTTCAATTCTCTAACAGATTTTAGAAGGAGTTTACTTGTATTACGCATTTGTGTAATTAGATCTAAATGGAAAATAACTATTGAAAAGTAAAATTTCCAGCTGGCGAGAGCTATGAGGCTTGAGCTTTAGCAGTAGAAAAATCCGAATCCCTAAACGATTTAACGATGTTGTCGATGTGAGCACTAGATGGCGCCATTTACTTTTCACAGTTCTCCAAATATTTGATAAAAACAATTAAACAGCCACCTCAAAGCGTTTGCATGCCTTCATGAACATCCTAAAGGTCCAGCAAAAAACAAACAAACAAAAAAGATTTAAAGGCAGGTTATTTTATTTCCTGTGTATACATGATCACAACCAGCTATTAACAGTTATTAACAAAAGATGGAAAATAATGATTTATTTACTGGGATCCACGACCACAACACAACAGTCAATTTTCTGAACAATCAAATATTTACAGTGCAACCAGGAGAAATACAGTCTAACACTCACTTTAATCGCCATACTGTTATACAGGCCATGCATCAGAAGTGTTAGTATGCCTCATAATATTAAGCACCACCTTTAGAGATTCTTGTTAAAATATTCACCTACACACCTGGGCAATTTTGTGTGTAATAACGATATAGGTGAAACTCCCTATGTACTAATTTAGCATCACACACAATGCTGTGTTCAGCATGACTGGTGGCAGGGATACTAAAAACATGTTTGTCAGTGCATGCTGTTGTTTAGAATTTATAAACTGTATGGGTTCATCATAATGATGCTGTATCTGCAGAATACTCTAGCGCAGTGGATACTCGTATCCTGAACATTGAGAGAAATGGGGGCATTCTTTACTCCTGGAAGGTAAGTCCACAGTGAACACATTGCATATTACATATTTGTTATACTGGATATAAGTTCAGAATCAGCTTTATTGGCCAGGTGTGTTGGACACATGAGGAATTTGACTGTGGTACAGCGGTGGCATATGGCGTTATGTAAGGCAGCAGTGGGCAAGTAACCAATATAAGGCTGAGAACAGAAGTAAAGAAGTAATGTGCAAAGGAATGTGCCTTAGGAGTAAAAATAAAGTACTATATACACACAGTCTGGATTTGATGGATCGATATGTACAAGGTATATATTTACAGGTATTGTACTGAGGGTTATTGTCCAGTCATACTGTCGTCGGTCAAGTGTTCATCAGAGTGATGGCCTGGGGGAAGAAACTGTCCTTGTGCCTGGTTGTCTTCGCGTACAGTAACCTGTAGCATCATCCAGAGGGGAGGAGTTCAAACAGATTGTGTCCCGGGTGTGAGGGGTCTGCAGAAATCTTCTCTGTCCTCCTCCTGACCTGTGATGTGTACAGGTCCTCCATGGAGGGCAGGCTTGCACCAGTTATCTTTTCTGCAGTCCTGACAGTCCACTGAAGTCTGTACTTGTCCTGTTTGGTTGCTGAGCCAAACCAGACAGTGATGGAGGTGCAGAGAACAGACTTGATGATTCCTCTGTAGAACTGTATCAGCAGCTCTTGAGGCAGGTTGAACTTCCTGAGCTGGCGCAGGAAGTATATCCTCTCGGATGAGACCAATGACCATTGTGTCATCTGCAGCTACTCATTAAGTGAATGTAATTATCCTAATCAGTATTAATTCAGTGCTTTTTCCAGTTTGGGCATGTTATAACCTGGTCCACGGTCACTTCATTTTACTGTTATTACCTGAGGGTGTTTGCTTTGACTTTTCTATAGAATTTTCATGTTGTAGCATCATCTGCACTCTGCTTGTCATCTGCTCTATAACTATTCTTTACTGACGCTATAGCAAGTCCAGTTTTTATGTCTCCACTATTTATCTTCACATGGGCACCATCAACTGAAATCTTCTATATTCTTTCTGGATTTCTCTGTAATTCAGTTTGACATATTTGGTATTTTTGGAAGCCTTGGGATTCTTACTAGAATTTCAAATTAAGTTCTGTGTGTTGAACCATACTTCTCTGCACAGCATAAATTTTTAATGATAGAGTCTGGGGGTTTAGGAGGTTAAAGAGAGTGTGCAGCCTGCAAAGAGAAAATAATCTCTTTTTTAAGTGCAAGGTTTATAGTTTTATGCACGCTTAGCTGTGACTTGGGATTCAGAGTAGACTTCCTTTTATTTTAAGCCTTCTGAACCAAAGACGTATCACTGATTTGAAGTGAAGCAGGTCTAACCAGGATAACCGTAAGGTCAGCCAAAGTGATGAAACAGTAAAGCATCATGTTCCACACTCACTGGTGTGGTGGAAGACACCAGGTCTATTCAAATTGCCCAGATTAGGGTTATCAAGCTCTGTAGCCTGATTGATGTAATGACACATGGCCTAACTGGAGGACTCCACTCTGTTCTACTCTGATAGGGAGCAACAGAGATGACCAGGATTGGAAAATATGACTCCAACACTAAACAGAACAAGGTACTGTGTGTGTTCTGTCTCCTACAGATTTTGCTTCTGTGTGTATTTGTGTGCCGCTCTATATCTGCACATTCATCCCCACGCGGCTGTATTTGTGCTCTCCGCAACAGCTCCTGTACTCATTTGACAAGCAGGTGTGTGTCAGCAGCTGTTCCCTGAACAAGGAGGAGACCCTGTTAGGTGAGCGTCTTTAATGTGCAGATGATGAATCACCAGTGACAGACATTGTTAACAATACTGTGTTATTGACCCAAAATCAAGAGTTCTGTAGTTCAAGAGGATTTCTACATTGTTACAACATGGGGATCCATAAGAATAAGCAGTTTATGTGCAGATTATTAACTGTAGTGGTGCCAAATCATAATTAATAAAACTGACTTACTGTAATGTAACTAGTATAATCTTTGTGGAAATTATATAAATGAAGTCACAGAACATGTTGCATCTGCTTTGTCTCTCTCAGCTGTAACCCTGACACAAAATACCAGAGGAGACGAGCACCTCAAACCAAGTAATACCCAAGATCGCTTCCTCTCTGTTTTGTTTCCAGAATTTGACATGAACCATTTCAGCTTCTGAACGTGTCTTAAATCTGCTTACGGTATTTGCCCAATTTGGAAATCACTGTTTCTGATCTTTCCTAGTATCCAAGTGTCTTACTCTCCTGATTGAGATCAGTCCCCTCAACAACACTAAAGTCCTCAAGGCAGTGGACTGCAGGGTCAAAGTGCAGGTAGTGTGTGTTTTGGCTGCTTTCATGCAGGTTTTACTTCAGCCATGAGACAATAATACATTTATCTGGGCTTACAGTGTCTTGAGTGTCAAAGACTATTTATTTTACAAGCTTGATGAAAGTGCACTGGCCTCTACTGATCACTCTATCATTTTCTCTGACTCATCTATCTTTTTTTTTTTAAATATCTATGTCATTTCATCAACAGAGGAACTTTATTTCTGTTATTAAGCTGCTGTGCCTTTAACCCTTGAAGTCCTTAGTGTTAGCTGCTCACCACACTGCCAAGCCATAAATTTCAAGTTGCACCAAGAATGTCTGAGGACTGTATTAAAACAAAATGATGTCTGGTAACTGCTATGAACCATTTACTCAGATGTCTTTCCATGTGGTTTACCCTAGTTCCTTGATCAAGAAACTGACAGGAGATCAGTGCTGGAGAGCCACCTGCTCCTGCTGACAGAAGATGGATGTGAGTCTGGTTGTCCTTATGCTTGTCTGTCTTTCGAGCATCTAGTAAAAATAAAAACAGAGAGAAATCATTTTAACATTTGTAGAGGAAAAACAGCAAAAACAACAGAGACATTACAAAGGGCACAGTTAGGTAGTTAGGTATAGTTATGTATCTTGCTGTATTTCAGATGTGGATCTATACCATGTTCTGCTGACCAGGCAGGAGGGTTACAGAGTGGTAAGTAGTCTGTGAACTGTCTGTGAATAGTTACAGTGAGGCAAATAAGTATTTGATACACCGCTGATTTTTCAAGTTTTCCCACTTACAGAGAATGGACAGATCTGTAATTTTCATCGTAGGTACACCTCAACTGTGAGAGACAGAATCTACAAAAAATTCCAGAAAATCACATTGTTAGATTTTTAAATAATTTATTTCCATTTTATTGCATGAAATAAGTATTTGATACAATAGAAAAATAGAACATAATATTTGGTATCGAAACCTTTGTTTACATTTACAGAGGTCAGACGTTTCCTGTAGTTCTTGACCAGGTTTGCACACACTGCAGCAGGGATTTTGGCCCACTCCTCCATACAGGTCTTCTCCAGATCTTTCAGGTTTTGGGGCTGTCGCTGAGCAACACAGAGTTTCAGCTCCCTCCATAGATTTTCTATTGGGTTCAGGTCTGGACACTGGCTAGGCCACTCCAGAACCTTGAAATGCTTCTTACCGAGCCACTCCTTAGTTGCCCTGGTTGTGTGTTTGGGGTCATTGTCATGCTGGAAGACCCAGCCACGACCCATCTTCAATGCTCTTACTGAGGGAAGGAGGTTGTTGCCAAAAATCTCATGACACATGGCCCCATCCATCCTCTCCTCAATACGGTGCAGTCGTACTGTCCCCTTTGCAGAAAAGCACCCCCAAAGCATGATGTTTCCACCCCCATGCTTCA